CCCACCGTGCCTGCCCCGGCGCCGCCTCCAGCCCTCCCCCTGGGCCCTCGCTCCCCTCAGCCCCCAGTGTCTGCAGATCAATCATCATTTCGCCAACCAAGCAGTACAGCGCACTGGCTTAAGTTTTGAACAGTGAGTCAACACCACTGAATAAAAATAATCCTTACTTGTTCGAGTAACTGATAAGTGTAGGCTTCCAGCGGTTCTCAACCTGTGGGTCTCGACCCCTTTGGGGGTCGAGCGACCCTTTCACAGGGGTCGCCTAAGACCATCGGAAAACACAGATATAATTACATATTGTTTTTGTGATTAATCACTAGGCTTTAATTATGTTCAATTTGTAACAATGAAAATACATCCTGCATATCAGATATTTACATTACGATTCATAACAGTAGCAAAATTACAGTTATGAAGTAGCAACGAAAATAATTTTATGGTTGGGGGTCACCACAACATGAGGAACTGTATGAAAGGGTCGCGGCATTAGGAAGGTTGAGAACCACTGGCTTACACAGGACCAGGACCTGTGGTAGTCCCGTAATGGAGATGAAAGGTGAGTATAACGCAGTGCAGCCCGCAGCCAGTCCATGGATATGGTCGTCCATCTACAGCGCTTTGTCTCGGTAGCTCAGAGGTCAAGGACATGAGCTCGGTGTGGTTCTCGGCCAACTGTACCAACTGGGTGATGGTGGGCGAGTTCTTAATTATATGCGCCCCAGATGCTTTATCTGTAAAATAGACACCAGCAATAACGCCTGCCTCATAGAGCTGATTAAATGAAACGACATTTTAAAAGTGCTTACTGTAGTTCCTGGTGTAAAGTAAGTGTTCAAAAATAGGAATTGTTATAATTCAAGATTTTTGTTCAATAACAGTTTGGAAGTGGATTATCCACTGCCAACTTTGCCCTATCTACTTTTTTTTGAGTGGGAGATTTATTTTTATTAATTAAAAAAAAAGGAATCCAAAGTTGGGCAAGCATAAAAATGTAAACTATAGGGGGTAATCCATACTGTTTTATTTAATCCATACTGTTTTATTTTATAGCCTGGTGGCAAGAAAGCTAGATCAAAGGGGAACTGTGGGGTGGAGTCCTCTCTCTGTTGCCTACCAGTTAGTAAAACTGGGAAGGTTGACTCATCTTCTTTTTTCACTTCTAAAATAAGTGGACTAAGTAACAGCTAAAATTTTAAGATTTTAAACTGGTCTGCTGGTAAAAAATTGCTTTATCAAAATGTTTGAAAATGCCATTTTTTTTCATATTCCTTACCTCATTAATTTCACAAAATACATATATATTTTAATTTTTAAAGATCTTTTAAGATCTCTCTCTCTCTACATACACTATACACACACACACACACACACACACACACACACGCACATATATGTGCATTGGGCCTCTATATATACTAGAGGCCCGATGCATGAAATTCGTGCAAGGGCCTTGGCCCCGCCCCTGCCCACCGCAGGGGCTGGGGCCTCTGCCGCTTCTGCCGTGCCCCCGCCCGCTGTGGCTTTGTCCGAAAGAAAGGACATCTAGTCTAATTAGCACATTATGCTTTATATATATTGGCTGTAGCTCAAAGGCAAGACTTATCTACCTGGCAGGGCAACCTTTGTTTACCAAGCATTTCATTTTCTCTTTTCAACTTCCCAAAACTTGCCTTCCTCCCCTTTGAAACCCTAGAGCCCCATCCCTTTCCTTAGGCCCAGGGTGATATGTAAGCCTAAATCTTCTGGCCGCCTGAAGTGGGGCTCCTAAAATCATAATTAAAATTGTTTTATGCTTTTAAAAAATATATTTTTATTGATTTCAGAGAGGGAGAGAGAGAGAGATAGAAACATCAATGAGAGAGCTGCCTACTGCACGACCCCCCATTGGGGATTGAGCTTGCAACCTGGGCATGTGCCCTGACCGGGAATGGAACTGTGACCTCCTGGTTCATAGGTTGACACTCAACCACTGAGTCACGCTGGCTGGGCATTCTTTTTAAAATCTGTTTTATGTCAATTTAATTCTTAAACCAGCCACAGAAACTAGAAGAGTAGAAGAGAAAAATTTTCCTCCTCTACAATATTCCCAGCCTAAAAACTGATTGTTTGTCTCTAACACAGGTACCTTCTTTATGAACGCTAAAATTCATTATAATGATTCATCTTCAAGTCAATGAATTATATTTCCGATACTGATCTAAAAGGAAATAGTCCATTATTTAGAATCAGTAGGAATGCTAGGCATAGAAGAGTAGCATAATGAAACTAAGGATTATTAAATGTCATCCTGCTGTTGAACCCCTTTCAGAACCACTCAGAAATATATTTTACTGGGATACAAATGATTTTAGGCAATCAATTAACTTCGTAGGCCACTTTGGTGTTGTTAAATGATAAATCGAGGCAGATTAAAAGTTTTAAGAGTTTATATGAGAAAAAATTCCATGGGCAGTGTCAAACCAGATGTGTTAGGAGGGCTCTACCAACAGGAGCTGGGGAGAGACTTTTATAGAGAAAAGGCAAAGGCAAAGCAAGGAAATTATTGATTGGTTATAGCTCAAAGCCTAGTTGACCGTGATTGGTTGTTCTTAGAGTTTGATTTCTTAACCTTGAGGCATTTACAGGCTTGGATTTTGGTCTTCTTACAGAGGCTAGATGGCATTAGATCCATCCACCTCAGTCTAATGCAGCGGTTCTCAACTTGTGGGTCGAGACCCCTTTGGGGATCGAACGACCCTTTCACAGGGGTCGCCTAAGACCATCGGAAAACACATATGTAATTACATATTGTTTTTGTAATTAATCACTATGCTTTAATTATGTTCAATTTGTAACAATGAAATTGGGGGTTACCACAACATGAAGAACTGTATTAAAGGGTCGCGGCATTAGGAAGGTTGAGAACCACTGGTCTAATGGCTTCCTTGTTTAATTAATCAATTAATTAATTTGCCAGCATTGTGAGACTATGCGGCTTAGTCAATGACTGTATGTCAAAGCCTTTAGAGATAAATATAAGAGGCACCTTCTAGGAACCTACAGTCTGAGCTCAGGTTGCCTACCAGAGATGTTTCTATCCCCTTGCCCCCTGCTCCCAGTGTTTGTTCACTATATTACTACAAAATGCAACTAGTCCAGAAATCGAGAAAACACAAGACCACAGAGGAGCCAGCTGCTAATTACACCTGGGGATGCGGGGGGAGCTTTTACAGTGGAGGTAATTCTTGCAGGTTTGCGCCTGTTCTAAAGCCTGGGTACGCATTGTCCAGGCTGAGTAAGTAAAAAGATAAGGTCAGCAGGTGACTCTGGCTCCGGTCTGTGCCGGAGGTGTTGCTGATGCTCCTCTTCTCTTTGGGGATCAGGAAGCTCTATGCAGGCAGCGCCCTCTGGAGGTGACTTAGTGTGGGAACTGCCTGAGAGGGATCGCTACATGGCCTGGACCTGGCCCAATAAGAACACCTCTCTCAGGCTGAGTCAGGAAATAAAAGGAAAATATTGAAAAAGAGCCAGAGCCACAGAACTAGGCGGGATGACTGAGGCAGCGGAGGTGGGGGGTGGGG